AAGCCGAGCCGAGCCGAGCCGGGTGACTCCGCCCGGCAGAGCTGCCGCTCTCCCAATCCCCGGGGAGCGGGAGGATGAGTAATGCACCGGCACAGGGCAGTCGCAGAGGGAAGCAGCTGCCAGGCACAGTAATTACACACAGAGGCAGGGCTGGGCTCGCAGGGAAATTCGCAGGGAAATTCGCAGGGACTGTGTTCCCGCAGCGCTGTAGGAGGACTTGGGGAGGGAAAATTTGAATGCTGTCCCCCAGCTGGCAGGGGGCACGCAGGAAGGGTGTGCCAGGCAGCCAGATGTGCCCTGCTGTCGGGGAGGGTCCCACGGGCATTCCCAGCACACAGCTGCCCTCGGAGCCCCCCCGAGGCCCAGCAGGGTGGGGGGCACTCCAAGGCCGGGCTGGGATGGGCATGTGGGACTCTGAGGGATGAGCCCGTGCTCTTGTGGCTGCTCCAGTGCAAGCTCAGCCCTTGGGCCCCTGGAGAGGGAAGCTGAGCAAGCACAGCTCCATCCCCCCCAGCCCCTTGCAGACACCCCCACCCTGCTCCACCCCCTTGACTCTTCCCATGGCCCCACACCAGCCCTGGCCCGTTCCCTTGCAGTCCCTCCGGCTCCCTCAAAACAACTCCCACCTCCTTGCAGCTCCCCAAAACATGTAACCCCACCCCCCATGCATCCCCCCACTCTCAGCTTTGCAACCCCCGATCTTTAGCATGCCAACGATTCTGCAAACCCAGATCCCTGCAGCCTCCAAGCCTCATACATCAGGTCTTCCAATCCCCAGAGTGTCACCAGGCCCCACGCTCCCCCTGAAGCCCTGGGCAGCCCCATGTGCGGATCCCCAGTGTCACGCAGCCCTGTGTCCCACTCAATCCCCTGGTTCCGTGCAGAATCCCTGGTGCTGCCCAGCCCCGTATCCCTGTTCATCCCATCCCGTTTCCGTCCCGATGCCGCCCATTCCCATTCCCATTCCCATTCCCATTCCCATTCCCATTCCCATTTCCTGTCCCCGTCCATCCCCTCGCGTTCTCGTCTCGATGTCTCCCATTCCCATTCCCGCTCCCATTCTCGGTCCATGCCATCCCGTTCCCATCCCGATGTCTCCCATTCCC